CGATGGCTCACCCCAGGTAGAGGGCCGGGGGCAGCCCGCCCCAGGCAGAGGGCTACGACGGCTCGCCCCGAGCTGGGGGCTGAGGGCAGCCCGCCCCGGGCAGAGGGCCGCGACGGCTGAAGTAGTCTTTTTTTAAAAAAGAAGAAGAAAAAGAGTGTGTGTGTGTGTGTGTGTGTGTACCGTCAAATTGGATCTGACTGGTACAGGAGACTGCCCCTCCTTCTCCAGCAGAGCATGAAGTAGAGTCTGGGTCCCCCACCCCCACCGCGGTGCCTGTCGGGGCCTGGGTTTCAGCTGTCCACACCACAGTAGTGAGCAACAAGCTTAAAGCCCCTGATGGCTCTGGGCGCTGACTCTCACCAGTGGCTATGGATGAAGTCACAGGCGATTTAGGGGTTTTGATTTAATGAAATATTTGAATACTACAACAGAATTGTAGAGGGAGGAAGAAGAGAAACCTTCATGAGGGAGGATGTGTTGTATACTCTTGAATCAGAACCAAACCATAGCTGACCCTTCAACGGGTTTTCAGAGGCTTTAAATGACACAGGAATAGATTGCCCATCTTTCTCCCACAGAGTAACTGGTGGATTCGAACTGCATGGTTGACAGTGCAACTCCTTAAGTCACTAAGCCCTCTGAGCTCTCTCATGGAAGATAAATTGTAGATGCCATTGGGTCAAGTACAACTTATAACGACCCTATAAACAGATCTGAACTCTGTCCTGTCCTGTGCCCACCTCTAAATCTCTGACACACTTGAGCCCATTGCTGCAATCACAGTGTCAGTCTATCTCTTTTGCTAACTCTCTATTTTCCAAGCATCATGTCCCCTTCCAAGGAATAGCCTCTCCTAACAGCATGCCTGAAGTATGAGACCATCCTTGCCTCCAACGAGCACTCTGGCTGCACCCTTTCTAGGACATACCTGTTTGTTCTTTTGGCAGTCTGTGGGATATTCAGTACTCCTCCCCAAAATTACAACTCAAAGGCATCACTTCTTCATCTATTCACTTATTCACTGTCCCGTAGACTGTAAACTGGATTAACTGAATGAATGTTATAACTTGACAAATCGAAGTTACTCTTTAGGAATAAATTCTTTAAAGTCGTTTTCTAGGTGACTTAGGGGTAAGGATGGGCATCAGCACTGGTGTGTCTGTGATGACTCCTCTCCCTGTATTTGCTTCCTTTTCACCCCCTCCGCTCACACTCCTGGATCCCATGAAGTTCTCTGTGTAGTTTAAATGTTGCCAATCTTTCTGAACAGATAGTAAATGGCTTAGGCTTTTTGGACCACACAGCCGCTCATCTCTGTCACTTCAGCATGGAAACCACAAAGACAAAAAGGAGCTCTTTCTCTGTATAAAGCTAAGGGCTTGTCACATTCAGCCCTGGGCTGGGGCTAGTTCGTCATTTGTATGGGTTAACAAAACCCACACTTACTGGAATTTGGAAAAGAAAAGTCTTACATTTTTTAAAAACAACTTTAGATGTAGTTAAGGGAACAGTTATTAAGATCATTGATAATATGTTTAAGATAGCAATCAAAAGCTGATAAAATAATTTTACATTTGTGATTTTTAGTATCCTTAAAACATATACACATACATACATATACACATACACATACATATATATGTATATCTATTTACAGTTGATTTTGTTGGGACAGAGGTTTCTAACAAGTACAGTCTGCAATCCTAGATGTCCCTGCTCACAAGTAGGCTTACATGTGTCTGAGTACTTGCACACATTCTTTATGGTGGTACACATAAGTACCACTATAGTCAATATAGTAGAACATATAGTTAGTCAATATGTATTTATGCTGTGCCTCAAAATATTTGTAAAGTTTATTTATACACATATAATTACTAAAAAGAAATTCACTAAGGAAAACTGAATGTAGATCTCAGAAGTTAAATAATGAGTTTAAAAGCTTCATACATTTCTAAAAGCCACATTTTTACTAGCAGCATGATGTGTATCTTTTAACATTTTCAGTATTGTTTTAAGTGTCATTGAATAACCTGCAACTCACAGTGACCCTTTGTACAGTAGCTCTGAACTTTGCTCTATCCTGAGTTAGTCTTACTGACTCTAACACACCTACTCTCATTACTCCAGTTACTGTATAAATCTATTTCATCCCAAAAGCCTTGCCTCCAAGGAGCAGCCTGGTTTCGCCCTCTTCAGGATTAACCTGTTTGTTCTCTTGGCAGTTCATCGTACTTTCAGTACTTTTCTCCAGCACAACTCAAAGACATTGATGATTCTTCTGTCATCATTGGTCATTGTCCAACTCTCTGGTGCAAGTAATTGAGAAGATCATGGCCTGATTTAGGTGTACCTTACTCTTTAGACTGACATCGTTGCTCTTCAGCACTTTTGAGCGGTCTCTAACAGCAGCTTTCACCAGAGCAATTACTTTTTATTTCCTCACTGCTGGTGCCAAGAGTGTTCATTATGGAGCTGAGCAAGCTAAAATTGTTGACAACCTCAATATCCTCTCCATCCATCATAGATAGTACTGTCAACTGGCCCAGTGGTTGAGAATCTTGGTCTTCTTGACAAAGATTGAGCTTCAGTCCATATTGAAGATCGCAGTCCTTGATCTTCCGCAGCAGACATTTCAGGTTCTCCTCAGTTTCAGCAAGCAAGGTTGTGTCATTTGCATAATGTAGGTTTCTGTTGAGTCTTCTCCAATTCTGATACCACATTCCTCCTCATAAAGTCCAGCCTCCAGCCTCTTGAATGATCTGTCCCACATATAGCTTGAAAAAGAATGGAGACAGGACATATCTCTGACATACTCCTTTACCGATTTTGAGCCATGCAGTTTTTCCTTGCTCTGTTCTGAGGACTGCATCCTGGTCCAAGTACAGGTTTCATGTGAACACAATCAGGTATTCAGTAATTCCCATTCCTCTCAAGGTTAACTACAGTTTGTTGTGATCCACACAGTCAAATGCCTATGCATAGTCAATGATAAACACAGATAAACACTCCTCTGTTACTCTCTGTTTTCAGCCAAAATCTAGCTGATGGTGATGATAATGTGATGCCATGGCTGCTTCTAAACTTGGCTTGTATTTCTGTTAGTTCTTTGTCAGTATATTCTTCAAGTTGGGTTTGTTGTGTTGTGTGGGGTTTTTTTTATAATCTTCAGCAGGATTTTCCTTGCATGTGTTTTATTCTGATAATGAAAATAATAAATCTCAAAAGTCTTGGGCCAGTGTTTGCATTTTACCTGAACAGTTTCCATCTCTCCAATATTCTTTATTCAGTCTGCAGATTCATTCAGAGTTGTGTCATCTGCATAATGCAGATTGTTGATGAATCTTCCACCAAACCAAGTGATGCCACACTTCTCCTCATACAGCCCAGCCTTCCAGATAATCTGTTTTGCATTTAGGTTCAAAAGTTATGGAGATAGAACACATCCCTGGTGTACACCCTTCCCAATTTTGAACCAAGCAGTATTTCCTTGCTCTGTTCTGACAACTGCCTCCTGATCCAAGTAAAGGTTTCTCATTAGCACGATCAAGTGTTCTAGGATTCCTGTTCTTCTCAGAGTCAGCCACAGTTTGTTATGATCCACACAGTAAAATGCCTTTGCATAATCAATGAAACATAGAGACATTCCTCTGGTATTCCCTGTTTTCAGCCAAGATCCATCTAACATTAGCTACAATATCCCTAGTACCACGACCCCTTCTAATTACAGCCAGCCAGCCAGCACTTCTGGCAGTTCTCTGTTGATGTGCTGTTCCAGTCATTTTAGAATAATCTTCAAAAGAATCTTGCTTGTATATGATATCAATGATACTGTTCGATAATTTCCACACTCTGTTGGATCACCTTTCTTTTAAATGGGAACAAATATAGATATGTTCCAGTTAGTTGACCAAATAGTAGAGGGGTAATAAATACTCATTTGTATTTCACCATGGAAAATGAGTTCTTTATTTTATGCTTTTTTTTTTTATTTACCATGTTTCTGAAAGATATCTTTATGTATTGTTTGAGAGTAAGAAAGCTCTTTGGTATGCTGGCGGAAATAAACTGACAGCATGATTTGATTTTTTCCCCCCAAAAAAAATTCGTAAAGAATAATATTTGAATCACAAAGTTACCAAGCCAATTAATCTTAAATTTACATTATAATTCCAAGTAAAAAAAGAGTCTGTAATACAATATAGCTAACAGAGTAAATGTTTCTAAGCTTGTCTTCTGGTAGGTAGATCCTTAGAGAAGAAATCACATAAAACATTAAAGCAGATTGACTTTGTTAGATCTTTTTAATCCTGATAGTTAAAGCTTGGGAGTTAAGGCCTCAAGGTGAAGAATGTGCATTGTTTGAATGAGCACTAGGATCCTAAGGTACAGGAGGTGTTCTTATATCCTCTCGAGTCAGCTGTCGAAATTAATTGGAAACTCAAGGTCAGGCTTCCTTGGTTTCACTTCCTCCACAACAGACTTGTTTGTTCTTTTGGGAGTCCGTGAGATAGTATCTTCTCCACCACCAGAAATCAGAGGTAGCGATTTTTCTTCTGTCATCAGAGGCAACCACCTGCCCCTTAGAGACAAGGATGGAGAAATGTGGTCTCACATATTGTGGGCCTGTTGTCCTTGCAAAAAGACATCATGCTGGGGAAGTGGAAGGTCAGAGAAAGAGAGGGAGCCCTTTAAGGAAGTGGATTGACACAGTGGCTGTAACAGTGTTCTTGAGCATGACAGAGACAGTGAGGATGGTGCAGGATAGGGCAGGGCTCAGATCTGTCGTTCACAGGGTCACCTGAGTTGTCATCTCCTTGATGGCACGTAAGAGCAGGTCGAGTCCAGTCACAGACGTGCCAGCCATCCCATCATTGCAGTTGGAGATGGCTTATAAAAACAGTCGTTCTCTAACCTGTGGGTGGTCCAGTTTGCTTTGTGATCAGAATTGTCAGCTAAGTGGTACATGGGAGTGGTTTTCATGTCTTGTCTCTTTTCAGATGAGCGATCACCAGCTGCTCAGTACGTGGACCTGCTGCTGAACCCTGAGCGCTACACTGGATACAAAGGCCCCTCTGCCTGGAGGGTGTGGAACAGCATCTATGAGGAGAATTGCTTCAAGTAACTCAAGGGGAGTGGGAGGGAGCTGCTGCGGGGATGGGGGGGACCCCTGAGATTAGTTTTGTGTGTGAGAAATGATGGTTACGTGAAAGCCAAACCATGTTTGAATTTTTTGCTTGATTTTCAGGCCTCGCTCTGTTTATCGCCCTTTAAACCCTCTGGCACCCAGCCGAGGTAGGCTTTCTGTCCATTTGCTGGCTTTTAGAGATTGTTTATACAACGGAACTTTGTGCTGAAAAGTAACTCTTTTCCTAATTCTGAATTAACCAAAATATATTAATGCATAGTTAAAGCTATGATTTCAAATTTTAAGATCATGCATGGTTTCTTTTTTATATAACTTCTGTCATCTAGTTTGCTAGACCCTAAACGAGGAGTTTTTTGTAAAATAGAGTAATCCAAGTGTATCAAAGGTTCCCTGGGAACTCTTAGAGCTCTGTATGCACAGACTGAAGCAGAGTGCTGGATATTCCATGGACTGCCAAAAGAGCAGACATATATTGGAGAAGATGCAGCCAGAGTGCTCCTTGAAGCAAGGATGGCAAAGCTTTCTGTCATATACTTGGGCATGTTGCTAGGAGAGGCTATTCCTAGGAGAGTTATCAAGAGAGGAAGACTCCAATGAGACTGGCACAGTGACTGCAGCAGTGAACTCTAGTGAGTCAGAGATGATGGAGATGGCACAGGACAAGACAGCGTTCACATCTGTTGTTCAAAGAGTCACTGGGAGTTTACTCGACGACATTTAACAACAGGGAGAAGACCCAGGCATCATTGCCACTCAAACTTCCCATGTAACTTCTGTGTTGCATCAATGTTTGAGGACCAGTTGCTCACAGATGCAGTTCTCAAATGTCAGCATTCATGTCACTTAGAAGCATTTTAAACACACGTTCTGCTTTTGTAGGTGTGGGGTGGGGCTGAGAAGCCAGATTTTAGTGGTCTTTGGCTGTGCTCCTGGAGTGCTGATCTGCAAACCACAATTTAAGATCTGCTATGCAGAGAAGCTTCAGAAGATGGGATTGCCCATTGCAGCCTTCTGCACCAAGCTGTCCAGTCTGGTGGCTGTCTACCACTTGGGGCTGTGAACACCTGAAATAAAGCTAGTGGGAAACTGACCTTAAATTTGTGAAAAAGATCTTAGTCCATTGCAGTGAAAACTCTGAAACAGTTGGGGTTTTGTGGGGTTTTTTTTCTCCATTCTAAGACTTTGTTTTGGTAAGGCAGCATTTTCTTTTAACTGGTACCCTTATATCAGCCAGGTATTACTGTTACAGTGTACTTTGACTGAGGATGTATATGTACGTGGTACATGTGAGGTATGTTACATTTGTAAAATGTGATGATTAGAAAAGTTTATATCACACTGGTGGCTTTCCTGTTGCTTTTGAACAGCATGACAGTACACCAATATAAAACTGCTGGGTATGTCCTCACTTCGTTCTCACAGAGGAATCCCAAGATTGATCTGCCATTTCACTGTTTTCTTAGATTAGATTGACTTCAGAAATGGAATTTTCTGCCTGAGATCTGTCTTTCCTGAGGTAGAATTGGAGCGTTGGAATGTGTGAACTGCCCTTAGATGTTCTCTTTGTTAAGTGAGGGTTGTGATTCTCTTCCCATCCCTTTGCTTTACAAATCATTTAGTATATATATGACTGTAACTAGTGGGACATCAGGACTGCCCCAGGTGAGGAAGAGGTCGCACAGCTAGCTGGACCCTCTGCCTTTTATTATTGTTATTTATGGGATTCTGAAAGATTCTGCAGATCATAACTTGTTGAAGACAAAGCTGTAGAATCCTAAACAGAGTAGAGGAAACATAGTTAAGAAGTCTGACGGACTGTTAATCAAGAACGACTGCTCTTTCATCACTTTTGAATATACTTTCTTGTTCCTTTACCTAAACTTTTGTTTCCGTTGTTAATTTTGGGCAGAAAGCTGGGCAGTCTTCAGTGTGATTCACACCCTGAGAAAACCCCTAGATGATCAGCTGTGAGTGGGTTCTGACCTAAAGACCATGAGCGCGATTTTTTTTTAATATTGTTTGGTGTATAAAACTGAAATTTGGTACTATTTAGCCTGTATTTGTATTCTTATTAACAAATCTTTTTTCTCAAGATGACTATATACCATCTAGACTTCATGATAAAAAATTAATATGTTTATAAGGAATACATTTAACCCCATATTAAATAGAATTGGCATTTGGACTGTGTAAGATTTTTTCTAAAATCCTTTTTATTCTTTTCTCTCCTAGGAGAAGATGATGGTGAGTTCAGAGTCTTGTATTTGTTTGCTTCAGATGTAGAGGAGATGTTCTCAGTAATCAGAACTTGAGTTTTTCTCTGTTTAATTCAAAGGAAATTGTCTTTCCTATTTTTTTCAGAGAATAGTGACCAATGAATGGTGAACATTTTAAAACAAGAACTTTATTTAGACTATCAAATAGTCATATGTTATGAGTATAAACTCCTTTTTCTAAGTCTTTAGTATTGAAATAAAGATTTCATTCCAGATTCTCTGTTTTCTGATTTTATAACTTACCTGATACATTTTGAAGAAGTGTAGAAAAAGCAAGACAGTGAGCATTTTACCAGATAATTTGCTTGTAACCTCTGTATTTTCTTGCTGACTGAAATTTTTTTTTCTATATTTTATTAATTTTCATAAACATTTACAGAGATTTTGGGTTTCCATTCATTCCTTGTTGCACTATTCTCTCTACCCTCCTCCCAGTTTGTTCTTGTCCAAATGCCACAGTGCTTGTCAAAGCCAG